GGCGCCATCGGAAGGCACCGTTGCTGCTGGGAAGGAGCCAGCGCCACAGGCCAGACATTTCAACGCGCGCATTTCACTTTGTTGATTGCTTCCAGTGATTTGTGAACCTTTGCTGCGCTCAGGGTGCCGAGCCAGCCCTCCAACATCAGTGGCCGTGAAGCAGAGAGGAGGGAGTTTGGCAGGGCTCGACCACGTGGCAGTGGAAGTGGTAGTGGCAATAGAAACAAGAAATGACCTGCGATCCTACGCAAGCTGGAGAAAAAATGAGGCGTCAGACATGTCCAGCGTAATTTGCTGCGGGCTGCCCGCGCAAACTCCATGTTTTTGCATGCGCTCATTGCCATTTGATCGATCAATTGAGGTTGCAGGCGGAGTGGATGTGGTCGACAGGCTCCACCAGTATTGTGGCTTGAGCAGTTTGCTGCGTTGAGTGCATCGGACTTGCTTTGCTTGCCGCTGTGCTGTAAACTGGTCGCCCCGAAAACAGGCTCTACTGGGCGCACCTTCTTGGATTGTTGGAGGGATCCCCTCTGGGTGGCAGAACGCTTAGCCTCAGGGCTTCAGTTGACAAGTCTTTGCTTTTTTCAGTATTTCAGTTGATTTGTGGATGTAGAAATTAATTCAGTTCGATCATGTTTGAGTTTGAAAGAATGAGTCTTCGTGTGATATTCAGGCCCAGCCTTCAGTTTTGATACCCACCCACCCAATCCTGTATGGGAAAGGGAGGGATCAACATGCGTTTCGCGTGGGGTTGGAGAAGCGACACGAGATCGCCTCTGGCCAGCCCGCCGCGTGAGTCCACCATGCAAAAAGACCTTTGCGCTGCTCACATGTTGCGGTGATTCGAGTGAAATATACATACACATATATATTGGAGATTGAGCAACTACATATATATATATATATTATGATCGATAAATTTGACTGAGTGGCTGTCGGGGATATTCAGCTATGAAATATTCTGGATTTGGATTGTTCACCTGGTTTTGTAAACCTGCTCTCCATTGAGGACTCCGAAAAAAGTGTCTCCGAGTATGTTGGCGCCCACAAAAAGCAGCCAGTGGAGGTGGCCAAACCTCCATGCTTCGGAGTGCACCGAAACAGTCTATGTTGGTGCTCACGATAAGCAGCCAGAGGAGGCCCCAAGCCTCCGAGTGCACTGCAAGAATCTATGTTGACGCCCAGCGAGCAGCCAGTGGAGGTTGCAAGCAGCGGAGGTCCCAGGCTTGCGGGCGTATCGAAATAATGTTGGTGCCCACAAAAAGTAGCTAGTGGAGGTTGCAGGTTATGCGTTTAATGCTGTTTGAATGCGCTGAAGTTTCCAGATACGACCATCTTCATGCATGGATCTGTGGATTCAGTCGGCAAACTCTGTTTGTTTGTTTTTTCTTCTGAGTAGCTCCAAATGGAAAAAAACAGTTCTAAGTTTGGTAGCAAATCCATTGGTCCTCTTTCATGTTGTGTTTATCAACCGTGGTAGGTTTGTGGTTTCATCGGTCTCAATAATTAGCAAGCTGCTTGAACCTTCCCCTCAATCTGTGCTATAGTCTAACCTCCTTCACGCTGGGTTGTATAGGCACTAGATCAAATAACAGGTGGATTTATCGGGGATTATATATCAAAGGATATCATCACTTCGAGCATTCCCATCTCGTCCCAAAATTCACTACCCACATATCTGTACAGTCTTTACATTTCAGCAAATGCGACAGCTTTGTGCAGATCCAGCTCGACAGATGCACATATGGATTGTATTGGCAAGCTTTCGGAATTCTAAATGTCCATTGAATGTCAACAGTTGAGACAATAGCTTTTCTTGCATTTCAATATATGGCAATGGTATTTAATCAATAGTAGATAAGGTTACTTGTGTGGAACCTGTATGGCCATTCGCTGTAGTAAACGACCTTTCGAGGACTTCTGCGGGACCTCTCCGTGTATTCTCAATCACCTTTCCTGGTGTCTCAAAAAACAAGTCAAAACTTCTCCTGCATATATGTAAGCCCTCAGCGTTTTTGCAAGTTACTAATTTTCTCCAAAAAGTTTATGGCAGCCATCTAGTATCCAAAACGGATCCATACCTTTGCTCTAGACCAAGAACACAATTAAACCTTGTTTCTACCTTTGAAATCATGTTCAAGTTCTCCTCTGTTAACAACATAAAAACCCCGTGCCTATTCATGTAATGGTCCGTCATGCTACACAGTCTTCAAACCATCCCCCAACCTCTACAGGACTTCCAGAGGTTTCCAGACAACATGTAACGGGACCTCTCCAGGACCCCTCCAGCACCTCTCCAGCACTTCTCAAGAACCATTTTAAATTCAGAAATTCCACCATCTTGCAAATATCTGCAAGCATTTCAGGATTTCGGCGTTGAACCAGAAGAAACCCTAAATCCTGTTGGACCCGAAACTGTTTTTAAGATCCTAGACGCTCGCCTAGATGGCTATCGGCCGTTAACTCTCCGCCCTTGCTTCTTTGTGCATAGAAAACACATTTTATTGAGGACCTCTCCAGGACCTTTCCAGGACCTCTCAGGAGTTCATAGCATTTGAGAATTCGAATTTTTCAGAACAAAAAACACACCTTCGCGACTTGCTTATGCTGATCCGCAATAATCGCATATCACAAAATACTATGCTGAACTGCAAGAAAGGCTTTGTCGCAACTGTCGGCCTTCAATGGAAATTTAGATTTCCGAAGGCTTGCCGATACATTCCACATACCCATGGATTTGCACAAAACCTTCGCATTTGCTGAAATTAGTTTCTACCAGACATATGGGTGGTCACCTTTCAGACAGAATAGAGATGCTCGACGTGAGAATTGCTTCGAAATTGTGCTCTCGTGTGGGCGTCCTTCAACTCCAGGCCTCCAGCCCCCCCAAAAAACATATAAATGAATCGGGGCTGTTGATGCTGGCGTGAGGTCACCCCGGTCTCCCCGGTCACCCCCGTGCCCACACCTGCATCCGGCCGAGTAGAGGTCACCTCTGGGAAAGAGTTCCCGTTCCCGGCATTAGCTGTTGTTAGTGGTGATTGAGGGTTGAGTGCGGAACATGAGGAAGGCTTTTGTATTTGGAGTTTGTCATTTGGTCCAAGACGTGAAATCAACATCATTCAGTTCTCATTCACCGCAAAGAACAGATGCGCCAACAACGAGCCACATCGCCCACACGCTTCAAACGCGGATTGAAGCTCTTCTCAGCTTGTCGTTTTCTGAGGGCATATGTTTCCATTCGGACTTACTCACTTAACTTGCCAGCTTCTAGTGTGCATTGATATTCGGCTGCTACTCGAATTTCATGCCATGCCATTTGCGGCATCATCAATTCAGGAACGGTCAAATCGCCATGGTTGCCGAGTGCAATTTCCGCTTGGGCTAGTCAGGCATTCCAATTGGTGGGCCAAAACTCAGGCCTTGAAATCAAGTATTAGCACTTGTGCAAAATTGCAATTGGGTCAAGAGCTGAAGAACAAACAACAGCCGGCGGACCGCGCCAGCAGAGCTAACAAATACGATGCAGAGAGCATCGATGAGTGAAAGCGCCCATGCCAAGAGCACTAAAGCTTGAAAGCGGGCTGTTTATGATTTCACCATTTTGTATCCCCAAATTCATGTGATGTCACTTTGTTGATCTATGTTCAGTGTGATATCTTCCTGCAATGACCTATGTTTTATTAGATGTTTCCGTTGATCTTTTTTCCCATGTGACCATGCTGTTTCAGAAGCTGTGCTCGTCAGGCTTGTTGTTGAAATCAAAGGTTTCGCGCCAGGTACCGATCTGAAGACTGTCCACCAGGAACAGACAGCAAGTTTTACACGTCAAAGACGCCCTTTAGGGAAGGTTTGTCGTAACGCCGTTTGACAGGTAAAGATAATTTGAGCTATTTTTTTTTAAAAAGTTTTGTGCCTCTTGACAGTTTTTTTTGCGCGTGGTTGTGTGGGAATCGTTTGACCTTTGGTGTAGCCTCATGGTTCATGCTATCAGTGTTGTTGAATGAAAAAAAACACACGAGGTGGAACGAGCCACTATGGGGTTGGTTGTTCCTACACATCACGAAAAGTATGAATGTAAAAACATTATCGGTTGCGAATGCAACGAGCTGGACGTTGACAATTGCAGGTGCTGAATTTTGCATTCTTTGCCGTAGCCGCTTCTTGCTCTGAGCTTTCGCTTTCAGCTTGCCTGGCAACATAAGTGCCTGCCTTGTCTACGTCTTGTACCTGATGTGGTCTGTGGCTCAGATTGGAGAGCTGGTCATGCGCTGTTTACAGTTCCCGGCTACATAGCCGGGGATGCGAGGCAATCGCGCAACGCCGCACCCCGGACCATCTGGCTTGTTATTAGGACGACTCGTGTGTCAATCCATCAAGAGCACGACAGTGTTTGATTTAGTTGCATGCCAGGGTTGAGGTTCCCCGCCCTGTGCAGCTGGGATCTCTGAAGTCGGAGAACGAGGGACAGGCCATCAGATCCCAGCCTCATCGTTCTTAAGCAATATGGATGCAGCAGTATGCAGGACCCCGGTATTCGCCTGGTGCCTGCTGGAGGCGGTGGTTGGGGGCGGCCCAAGGAGGAGCTGAAGCTGTGATTTACGTTCAGGGCGTGACTTCTGGATTTGCAGAGCCCCAGCAGGATGTGGAAGAACCTGCGGAGACTCAGCCTACGCAATCCCGGCACGTGATTTGTGGACTTTGGCTGTGCTTCAGTGTTTCAGGTTGGAGATACGCGTCCGCGTATGTTAGCAGGAATCCGCGCATCGGTTTGACGTCACAGCCTGCACAGTTGCGCCCCACGGCTTGGGGAAGGCTCGATGCACCTCGCGCATTGATGCGTGGTGTGTACTATTTCATGTGCCAGGACCTCTTTGACTGCTCAAGCTGGGCCAAGGCGAATTTGTAGAGCTCGTGCAAGAAACACAACTTGCAATCTGCTAGTCAACGTCATGGTGCTTTGCGTGTTGCTTCTTGTCGTTGTCTGCGTCAATGGCAAGGCCAGCGCCATGGGCCCAGCCTGCACCAGGCACGGCATGGCAGGAGCCATTGGAGAAGAAGCAGGCGACGGAGAGAGCCAGCAAAGACTGTTTTCTCTGCTTTTTGGCGAGTCAAACTGTCCAGGAAGAGTTTCCGTCACTGGGATCGGAGCCGAAGGTGCGGCCTCAAACGCTATCACACTTGCGCATAATTTGCAGTTCCTGGTTGGATAGCAACTCGTGCCAAAATCAAGTTTGGACTGCAGGGGCGCAGGATTTCGGGATCCGGATCGGGAATCCCGATGGGACCGGTGATTGGCTTAGACTTTGTCCGAAGTTGCTGCTGCATTCTGAGAGCATACAGCTCAAGTCTGAGATTCTTGTGTTAGCATGATCACTGCCGAGCTGATTGTAGCCTGTGTTTTTGTGGTGCCGTTGTCCAACTGCAGCATTGCACAGGAAGTCATGAAAAGCCCCAGAGTGTGGGCAGTTTGAAGCAACCTTTCTCACTTCACCCTGGGAAGTGGCCCCAAAATGATTCCTTTCTCGGTTTTGGAATTATTCTCGTAGTCTAGCCATATGAAGATGGTAGACTCACGTTTCAGCACACTTGGGTTTGGTGATGCCCTGCAAAGGCTGCAAAGTTACACAGCTCCGAAGGTGTTTTCGAATGACGCAACAAGATGGCTGCTTTGAGTTGCGCTCAGCTGAGCCAACCTCGGCCTGCAGCTTTGCCGCCTTGGCCACCCTGCGTGCAGTGCGGTCGCAGCGTGCCTCACAAAGTCTGGACAGGGGAAGGCTGCTCGGGAGAGTTCTAGAGTTCAAGCAGATGCCACGTCATTCCGAGAGTTCACAGCCATTGAGAGCTTCAGGAGGTGATGGCTGTTTTGTGGCAGCTGCCACAGCCACGGCCTCTGCCATCGCTGTCGAGCGCTGTCGGTCGCCATCACGGCGCATGTCAGCACAGCGAGGTGCCTTGAGGCTTCTTTCCCGAGCAAGTTTCAATCACAGTTGAATCCCAGGGCCGTTGAAGCTCTATGCCGAGCGGCGTGCTGAGCGGCGTACACCAGAACCGAAGGGCACACCCCGAGCTCGGCGCTACACTTCTGTAGACGCACAGATTGGACAAGTGCTGCATGTCTTGAGGTCTCACTGCTTTGAATATTCTTGCGTAGCATCCCTTCCAGAAAAGGATTGGGTCGCTAACCTGCGCGGTCTGTGGTCGTCAAATCTTCTGCGTCGAATCCTAAGCCCAGTGCTTTGCACAACCGGAGTGGCTGTGTTGGTCTGCCTGGCACACGGCTATCTCCTCCCGAAGGCTTGGTCATCTATTCGTATCCATGTCACTTGATGCCAGTCAGCATGGGCCTGCTTCGAAGGGGAAGTTCTGGCATGCAAGCACCACGGGCCACGCACTGTTGGTCTCTGCTCTGGGGCTCTTGCTTGTCTTCCGTACAAACACGGCCTCTCGCCTGCATTTGTTTCTGCACCCGACTAGCTCAGCGAAACCTGAAAATCCGTTCAAGGCATACTCGCGCTTCTGGGAGGGCCGGCAAATTTGGCAACGAATCCTGGACCTGGGAAGGCTCATCAGCACTGGTCACTGCTGTGGCATGTGTATGGCCTTCTGTATCATTGCCTGTCTCAGGGATGTCTCGCGCTACGCCATCATCTTTCGGCAGGAGATGGGTCCACAAACGTCAGCTCATGTTTGCAACTCTTCTGCGCACCAACTTTGTTTGCCATGCTGTTGGAGCTCAACAAGCAGCGTCTCGATCCCAGGCCGACTGGTCCAGGCATTTCCTTACTGCATGATTGAGCACCTGCGTGGCAAGAAGGCTAGATGCAGCGCCAGGGCTGTTAACGGTGTGTGAAAGATTGTAAGCTGTCACAGGATCGTGCCATGCGCTCCAAGCTAGAACGGCTGATTGGCCCGAAAGGCGAACTGGCGAGCACCTTGGCTGGCTTGACAGCTTTATCAGGCCACAGGATGCCACAGGAGTTGGCATCAGACCCAGGCAACGTCCAGCACGACTACACTCTGCCAATGTCCTCCAACAGGCCTCTCTTCATCGTTAACCAGCATCTTGGCTGTTGTTATAATGACGGCAGTATGCGACAAATCGACTTCTGCAGCTCTAGGCACTGTTGATGCGCAAAGCCCTGCATAACAGCAGGTATATCATGGTAATTCCACAATACCTGGCGGTGTAGGTATACTGGGTCATGCAGGACTCTGTCCATCAAGCACGTTCATGGTCTTGTTTGAGTCATGCTGACCTTTGCAAGTAATGAGTGTTCTCGGGACGCCTGAAGAGCTGATTTCGCACTTGACCACTCCCTGCATTTTTTCGTGCTGGTGAGTGAGGACTCGGGTTCATCTGATATTTGGTAAGTTCAGTTGAGCGATTCAACTTGAGTGTGCTCTTCATGATTGTCATTTTGAGCGGCTGTTCTTGTGTGGCTTTTGATGCAGCGGTGATATGAAAAGTGCTGCACGCACATGAAGCGCACAGTTATCAACGCTTGAGGTTGGCACATGCTGTCCGCTCTGTCCCCAATGGTGAAGGAGCACAGGCCACAGAAGAAGATATGATATCCGTCACAACATATATGAGAGTCTCTTCTATTTTGCAGGCGATGTACACCAACCGGGAACGGTCCCAATTGTTGCAGAATCTGGAGAAGCTCAGCCGGAGACTGAATCGCCAAGTACATCAGCTTGAATCCCACTATGCCCACTCGCACTTGCGCATGAGGTTCTACAATTGGAGCTTGTGAGCGCCTGGTACAGACGCCAGTCCCCCTCAGTGTCATGGCAACAGTTATAGAGATGCTTCCTGCAAGTCCTGTTGTCCGGTCATGCTTTCTGGATGGTGAGTATGGCAGCGAATGGACATTGATTCAGCAGAAAGCTTTCAAGCATTTAGTCATCAACAAGTGGAGCGTTTGCAAAATGTGGCATGGTGAGGCTATGTGCGTCACACATCGCGCTTCCTGTCATTGTTCATGCTCACGTGACGTGGCTCTAAAACAGCGGTTGCACTGGCAGGTAGAGCTAGGCTTTCGAAGCGTCAGCCAAGGCTGCCATTTGCATTGGTAGACGTCCTGGGTCCGTACACTGTCCCAGTCACCTGTTGCCTGGCTGCATTTGGCCTTACTTTGGCTTGAGATTGCTGCAAGCCATTGGACGTTTCCAGGACCGCAGTCAAACCCAGGCTTTGCAAGTTGGGCCTTGTTTGGAATCTTCGAGATCGGTCTCGTCATTGAGGTTTGTTTGTCGTCATTGAGGTTTGCTTTGTGCCTGATGGTGTTTGCTCTTTCTTCACTATGCACATTTGCAGGACCCCTTCCAGGGTGTGCTGAAGGTCGAGGTGATTGCCGACACTTTACAGGCAAATTGCAGAGCCGAAGAATTCGAGCTGTAAGCCGCCGGCCTCGTGAGGTGGACATTGAGGAGTCCATTCGCAGCTTGGGGGCGCAGGAGCCGTTCACGCTCCCACGAAGAACCCATGACTTTTTCACTCATTTGCAGGACCTGCTAGAAGCTGGTGCACTTGGTGTCGAGACCCCGAAGAAGGATAAGAAGTCACGCAGTGACTCTAGAATCCTGTCCGCATACCCAAAGGAAACACAGTGCTCAACATTGCATCGCAGCTGGGGGTGAACAGAGCCTGCGAGTACATTTCCAGGCTACGAATCTTCGCGGGTTCTGCCTTCGACCGGAGAAGAGCTCTCAGCAGCTTTGCAATAACTCACTTGTCTTAAAGACAGTTTGTCTCTTGTGAGAGACAAGTATCGGGCTAGATTCTTGGCCTGACGCGTCTCTTCCATGTTTCCACGAGGAGGCAGGCATTAGAGCATGGTGATGTGAGGGGCAGCAGAAACCTGAGGTCGCCCGTGCGGCTGATCAGGCCGAGTCGGAAGAAACCAAGAAGGCCCATGTGCCATACTACCATAGTACGTTATTGTGTATAAGTAGCAGCTTGATTTGCCATGTTGGCTTGGGACTTAAGCTCCGAGAGCAGCCCGTTTGCATGTATCTTCACCTGTTGATTAAATGAGTCAAAGTCTAAACTCCTAATATCGCCGTTGATGACCCCTATCATGCTCCCCTATATAATCCCCTATGTAACCCCGTCTAGCGAGTTTTGACTATAGCTCAAATGTATCTTGTCTGGATCCTGGAAAGGAACGGGCGCAGGGCAGACGGCCAAGGCTGACCATGCGAGACGTGGATCCGGGGGACTGGTCCAGTCTCCCGGCATTTACACGGGACAAGCATGTCTGCTCAAGTAAGAGTAATAGTAGTAGCAATAATAATAGTAATAGGAATAGCAATAGGAAATAGGAATAGGAATAGTAATAGTTATAGTAATAGTGATAGTAATCGTAATAGTAATAGTAATAGTCATAGAAAGTAAAAGTAATTGTAATGGTCCTGGCACTAGAAATAGTAAAAGTAATTGTAAAAGTCATAGTAATATTCATAGTAAGAGTAATCATAATATTATGATATCTACTTCCTGTTCTGTCAGTATCTTCAAGAGCCCATCCAAGGAGCAAGGGAACAGGTCCTCCTGCAGATCTTCCAGTCCTATGACATGAATGGTGACAAGGCTGGTTGCTGAAACAGGAGCCACCGCCCGGCAACTTTTGCACTCTCAGTAAGTCTTTGGTCGGTATGACAACCAATCACAATCATATACTCACATATATATACATATATATATGTATGTATACAAAAGCTGGAAGGCCATCGACAAAGCGGAAATGGAGAAGGCTCTTTGTGATTGCAGGGCGATGCCTCGCAAGGAGGGGTAGAGGGCTGTCATGCCATCATGGCAGCAGGTGCTGGCAGACACAGATCTTGAGATCGACATCGAGCGATCCTTGGCTTCATAGGCTCGTCTTTGGTTACGACCTATTGCCTCCTATGCTCCTGAAGAGGCTCACTAATTTCGTTGTAACGTCTGTCTTTCCCTTGACATGAAAAAAACAGTGCGAATGAGAATTAAGGGGGTCCTGAAAGTTCTACTACTCTTGAACTGTTTTGTTCAAGCCTTTGTGGCTAGGATTGTAAATACAATGAATCTGAAGGTAACTTAATAGGACTTGATGGCTCGCTTATGTTCCTTCTTTTGTCTTGTTGGCAGCGCTTCTTGAACAGAAAGTAGACAGATTCTAAAAGTCTAACTGGAATAAGTTTCCTTTGTGATTTTTCATGCTGGCTTTCGCAGAAGTTCAGCGCGCCTCCATAAATCCAACGAGTCTAGCTAGAATTAGGCACCTGGGTGTTTTCCTCATTAGAAAGTCATCACTTTGATGGAGTCACAGCGGCCTCGATGCGAGTCCTTGAATCAATGTCCTCGTGATGCCTCAAACCATTGATCATTCCTGATGAGGCATGGGACGGGAGTGATGCGACTCATTATCAGGAAGGCGATTAGTTTTAGAGCCATTCCGGGATGGTCGAAGAATTGGCTGCAAGCCTCCGATGTACAAAGAGTTCTAGCTTTTCATCTGCACTGCTCTCAGATGACAAGCTTTTCCGGCTCTTTGCGCAAACGGCTTGCATCTCTGTAGGATCACGCCTTTTTCTGAGGCATCGAAGCAATCTTTGACGAGGCGGACATGGACCATGATGGCATCCTGACTCAGGCAAAGCCGATCCTTCTCAGTTTCTTACCCTCCGTAGCACCCTGGGAAGCATGAGCTGTGTTTCGGTTGCAATGTGGCAGGCGGAATGGGTTGAATGGGCAGAAGAGTGCTTCGAGAAAGCAGAGATCGCCAACTTGGTGTTGCGAATGCCTTCCTCGCCTCTTCTGCCTGCTGACACCCAGGATGATACCTGGGCTGCTCGTCTTCAGGGCCAAAGCTCCAGCACAAAAGATCAACTCAACCCCTGTGGCCAAGGATGAGAAGGGAGAAGAGGATGATGAAGCTGAGCATGCTGAGCCGGAAAGGCCATCGAATGCATAGAATGGTTTTTGAGGCAGTAGAAACTCATCATTGTGTGCTTTGTGTGCTGTATGTGCTGTGTCCTGTATAGGCCTGAGGAAGAGGAGTTGGAGCCGCCTGCGGCAGTGCAATGGGAGCCAAAACTGCCTGAGCGGGTACCCGACAAAGAGCTGGCCGAGTTCCTGCTGCGGAACCATGAGCCCAAGCGCAGGGTGGGTGTGGATGCGTTCTGAAGAATCCATCCTTGCACTCAGAAGGCTTTGCAGCAGTCTGACGAGCTCCAACTGCCTGCGGCTCAAGTGCTGAGGACAGCTGACAGCGCTGAGAAGCTCGAGGTTGACGCCTTGAAGAAGGCTGAGCCTGAACTTTGCAAACGCTCCTGTATCCCAACTGGTCAGTACTTGTTTTCAAATGAGCAATATAGACTGTATGACAGGGTGTTGTCCAGCTCACACGCGCATAACTCGATTTTCATTCTCTCCTTTGGTTGGAGAGGCCCCCTGCTCAGAGGGTAGCAGAGGTTTCAGCTGTGAAACTGTTCTTAGTGCCAGACCTGTAGCATTTCAACAGAACCTACTGAAACCCAGCCCTTAAGAGCCCTCGCATCCAAGCTCCTGGCTGGCCTCCCATGAGCAACTCTTCGAGGACCATGGAGGTCAGGGTATTTTAATGCGAGGATACTGCCTTCGTCTGTATTTCTCTTGTTTTATCCGAGCAGTACCTGCTCATGTGTTTCTTACCAATTCGCGTCGCTTCTGTCCGAAATTCGCGGAGCGTGAAGCATGCGGATGTAGGTTTCCTTCTCACTGCACGCCTTCCTGCTTGAATGGGGTGCTGTGAGACGTCTTTTGGCTTCCGCAGTTGCACAACCTTGCATCAACAGATTGCGCCCTGTACGTTATGATCATGTTTTGTGCCGGGTAACTCCGTGTGCAACGGATGCGCTTCGGAACCAGAGAATGGAGGTGCAACACGGTTTCAGGCTAGCCGTCAGGTGGCCGACGGCCACTTTACAGCTGACGTTATTTCTCCTGAGGGTGTGCACCTCTCCAAAGTTGTAAGCGGCTGCGGCCTCTGTGAGAGCCTCTCTGAAGCTTTCCTGAAGATTGGATCTTTGTGAAGTGAAGGTGTGGCCTAGGCTACACGACCTTGTACACAATCCCGAGCGCAGACGTGATCGGGCTGCAAAGCCGTGCCTCGAGACCAGGTGAGACCGACCCAAGCCCGCCAAAAAATGTTGCAGCAGTTCACCGTGAAACAAGAAGATCAAGCAGCAAGAGCCGCTTTCTTTCAAGGGGCCATCTTCCTCATCCAGTATGTCTCGGCCTATTGGAGCGGCACCAGCCGTGAACCTACAGCTCCCTTTGAAGGTGGATGTTTCAAGTTTCATACAACGAGGTCCCTGAGAAGCGTCCTGTTCTACCCCCTCCGCCCACGCCAGCACCCACGCCTGCGCCCGTTGCTTGCGGCTGAGTGTGCAAACTTTTGATGCTCTGCAGCTGACTCAGTTTGACCTTCTTGCCAGGTGGAACGTCGTGCCAAAGATGAGGACGTTGACAAGGAGATTCGATTTGTTTGGTGAGTTTTGTCGCAGAGTCGCTGTCACGCCCAGAATGTCTTGCCTTGCATAGGCTGTGGAGAAACGTTCTCCACCCCCTGCAAAGGCTTCGGATGCTCCTCAGCAGAAAAGCCAACCACAAAGTGATGCTCTTCTCCAACTGGGTCTGTAGCAGGCTGAGCGGCCACGCACCACGAGCGAGGACAGCGACAAGGACCACGACAGCGCATCCAGATTGGAAGATGTGTAGATTGCAAATCAGCAAGCAAATGTTTAATTGTAAGAGTGACAGTGACCTACCCGTGCTTGTTCAATTCATCTCAGCGCCCAGTGGTATTTATTTGACGCTAGGTCAGCTAAGACATGTCACTTTCCCTATCATATAGCAGCCTGCCGCTACCTGGTGCCGACACTTGAATCCCAACTATTCGTTGCTTTTACTCTGATTTTAATTCAAAGTCCTTGGATCATTTAACTTGTCACATTTTCGCCATGTTTGGCCGTTGCTTGGCGACGCTGCGGGCATCCGTGCAGCCTTTGGGTCGTGCACAGGCACCCCCTTGCAACTGCTGTCTGTCGTCTATGCACCTGTCGTGGGCTCACCATTGCGGGCTTTCAATGCGTGACTCTTTGTGAAGGTGCAGGCAAAATCCTGCCGCTGCCTTGCTGGACTCACAGCTCCGCCTCCTCTATTACGGCCACTGAAGGCTGGAGTGCAAAGAGTCAGACAACCCACACGGCCATACCCTTTGCTCAGGTGCCACTGCCGCTGCTGTGGAGGGAGGTGGGAAGCTTAAAGTTGTAGTCCAATGCAAAGTCTCTTTCAGATGGCCTCTGTGCAAAACACGACCTGACTCGATCTTTTTGCCCAGGAGTCCCGACTGTTGCCACCCCTTCGGAGAACGACGGTGATGATCCATTGTCGAGGAGTCACGACAAAGATCCGCGGGCGTTTCAAGATGTCAAAGCACCGGTTTCTTGGTTGAGCACTGGTGTGAAAACAGATGCGCACGAGCTTCGGTATTGCTTGTTCGAAAGCAGACGCAACGATAGCAACAGTTCTGAGGTATTTGAGGAATGTCGGAAGCCCAGTTCGCGCTGATTGATGCACTGACTTCCCCTCTTATTTGTCTGTTTCTGGCATGGGTTGAGATCAAGAAAGTGCGCTATATTTCGGCGATCCCGCAGTACACAGGCGGGCGATGAGCCTGATACGTACTTTTTTAGGCTACATGGGTGATATGTGTACTTGACAATGGCCTGACTTTGGAAGGTCCACTTGGAAGGCAAACAAAGAAACGAGCCATCATAAAGGACTACAGAAAAACGACCGACACTCGGATTCCGCACAATCTCAGCATTCAAAACCGACCACTCTTGTAAACAGCGAGTTCTTGCAGCAATTCCAAGGCCACGGCTCCGAGTCTTCCTGCGCGAGCGCTGAGTCGCTGCCAGCGCATCCAGTGCTGCCTGTGTGTCCGAAAAGGGCGTGGACAATTGAAGTGAAGTTGAGCTCATTTCCTCATCTTTGAAACTGTTGGCATGAAAATGAGAAGCACGCCATGCAGGAGTTCATGAAGACCCTGGCCGACAAGCGCCGCGCAGAGAAAAGGGAGGAGGAAGAGGCTCCGCGAGATCCTGCGAGGTTTTGCATTTTGTCTGCTGACATGTACATGGTCCAACCAGGAGCGCAGCCGCCAACAGTTCGCTCGAGCGCAGGACCGCTTGTCTGAGCTCCTGCCGCGCCATGGCCTAGGCTAGCAATTCCGCTTGCACTGATTCGTGTTCTGTGATTGTTTACGGCCGCAGCTGTTTCTGCGGGGAAGTGTCTCTAGGAAAACTTGACATGGTCAGCTCAGCATGAGCCCTCAAGATTTGTTTCCTTGCTGTGCCTTGAACAAATTGAAAGAATTTGACAAGTGGACAAGCATGTCAAGCAAGACAACCGGCTTGAGCGTGTAGCATGGCGGGATGGCAAGTGCCCGGGCCGTCTGAAACTCTGAGGCCTGTGTGAAGACGAAGGGGACGTCTGTGGCAAGTTCTGAGTGCCCTCCTGAAATTGCAGGCTGTCAATCCGAATCCGGCGCTGGGCGAAAGCGGGAGTGTTGACCACAGTGGCAAAGTCCTTGCAGACGACTCCATTGGATTTTTTTTTTGTGAGGGGGATTTGCTGGAGGATTCCTTAAGTCTCAGGCAGCTTTCTGATTCAGAATTTCATCAGCTTCGCTCAAGGTCTTGTGCTTCTTTGCAACCGCTTCGCGATCCACAGGTCTGCTAGCGCGGGCCTTGAAGAGAAGACACTCAAGCTAGGCTCGGCATTTATGTCAGCATGAGTGCGCTCAGTTTGGGGTCAGGCTTGGGCATTTGCAAGTGCAGTCTGCGCGCGAGCCGGCATCCAGGTCCAGGGCTATGGGTCTGCGATACCGTCAAGGAGCTCCAAGGCTCCAGGCCTGGTCAAAGCCAGAAGGCTCTTCTTTTCTCAGCTCTCCACACATGAAAACTCGGAAAGGCGTTGGCTCCTCCGCCGTCCTTCAAGCCTCTCGGGAGGTGGAGAATGGCGCGGCTCAGCAGGAGGCGCCGGAAGTATTACGAACCCAGGGGCTCTTCTTTTTGTCAGAGCGCTAGCTCTACCTAGCAGTGCTTGTGGTGAAACAAGGATGTGGACACAAGGCCAGCTCGCCTCCGCCTGCAAGATGAGCAGGCTCGACATGCAGGACGTTCGCTTCGCAGACCCTTGTGATACTTCAATGACTTGGAGGTGTTGACGCTGAGAGCAAGTGCGCGTCGTAGAGCGGAGTGGGCCACAGCCTTAGCGGTGGTCTCTGGCTGCGACCTGCACTCAACGTCTTTGCAAATTGTTGCAGCGTGCAACATTTCTTCCTTGCTTGAGCAGCCTTTGATAGCCCTTGTTAACGTGTCATTGTATCTAAAGCCAGTTCTCAAGCTCCATGCCGGGAGATCCATAGGATTTTGCACTCTGAAGGCACGGATGCGGTTGGGACAGACAGCTGGCAAGGCCGAAGCTTCGCAGGAGGCAAGCTCCCATCATTTCAGAGTTCTAGTGTGGCAACGTACCTTTATTCTTACAACGATCCGCCCCTGCAAGATCTGCCACGAGGCGCCGCTGCCAAAGCCAGCAAGTTGGAATGACAATCAGCGCAAGGAGGCGCGGTCGTCTGTGAGTGTCCGCATGGACGGCTTGCAGCAACGCGTTCATCAGGAAGTTACTCGGGAGCGTAACCGCTTGTTCCAAAGACTGGAGGCCAGGCAGAATCTTGTAATGGACATGTGACATGTCTGTTCAAGGATGTGGAAGTGGATGTGCATGCGATCAGGCAAAGCGGGCACGAGACTTGGAAGAGGTTTCGGCCCCAGCTTTGCTGGCCAAGACTTGGTGCAGCTAGCCAAAGCATGAGTTGCGAGCAGGCGACGCAACGCGCCACGCTGACAGAGCGGCGACAAAGTCTTCGACGTCAGAAGCTAGAGCCGGATCCCTACCGCTGGCACGTCTTATGAAGGAAATGATGATGCCACTCTTCAGTCAATGCAATGATTGCAAAAGAAGTTTGGTAACAAAATGATCAGAGCTTGCTGCATGAATCAGATATGCAGAAAATCCAGGCGTGCTGCCACTAAAAAGGAGCAGCAGCGTGTCCAGCGCATGCTGGAGCTTCGTGGGGCTTCTTGGCAGCAAGGAATATCCAGGTTTTTGCGTTCAACTTTCTATTGGATTATGTTGCTTTTCTTTTCTTTGCATAGGCAGAGGCTGAAGACAGGTGCTCCGGGTTGCGCACGTTTGGCCAGATTGATAGATATCATCCACATTGTGTTTCTTTAAGAAATCGTTAAATGGATTGGAAAAACAGATGCACTTCACAGAGTGCCTCGTGGGCGGGGGCCAGGACACAACGCATGCGGACCTCCAGCGACTCAACAAAATGAGGTTATCTGAGATTTTCGTTGATTGACAGTAGGAGGAAAGTCAGCAGTCTGTTTGCAACAGCGCGGAACGAAGCTTTGGTTCCTTGTTTTGCACGTAAGTCCAGACACTTGTTGATGCGTTTTGGGCCGAGCTGTTGCCTCATCCATCGCAGGAGGAGCGTCTTCCTACCCTGCAGCAGGCATCATGTGACCGCTTTTGCATGCGCTTTCAGCTTTGGGCGCTGCTGTCATAGGCGCGGTCAATGACAGTCCTGCAGCTGCGGGACTTGCTATGGAAAGTCGGCGTCCCAATTGACAGACATTGTAATGACAGTGCTTGGCTTGCACTTGGCTGCCCCAGTGCCCTCTGCTGAAAGGCTGGCTTCCCGGCCAAAGGACTGCCGTCAGCAGCTGACGTGAGGCTTGGTATCGTGTTAAGTCCAAAGGTTGCCAGCTTCAATATGACCTACGCCTGCGCTGTGCTGATGTGGAACTCTGTGGCAGGGAGCTTTCTGCAGAGGAGTTGAAGGCACGTCTTCAAAAAGTGAAGGCGCCATGGTGAAACTGGGTCCCAAGCCGAAAGATATTATATTTTGGACTTGTGCTGGGTGTCGTCCCATCAGGTGCAATTCCTCGATCTGATTGGTCCCGTCCTGCCCAAGGCACATGGTTGTTTGATGTTGTGTCACTTGAATGATTCTCTTGTGCGGCGTTGACGCCAGGCTGAAGAGCCTTCGGAAGACGATGGAAAGAGTGAGCGGGGCGGTTAAACGTAGTTGGAGTACCCGGATCGGTGCAATCCAATCCTGGGTCTATCTCCTGGAAGCAGAGACAAACCAGTGCACTGCCGATCACTGGCGAACGTCCTAGGGCTGCAGCGGTGCCTTATGTGCCGTAGATTTTGCAGGAGAAGCTTCGCCTTCTGGAAACCCGTGCAAAGGAACGGCAGAGACAGGAGGCGGCTGCGGTGAGAAGCAGCAATGTGTTTGCTGCAGCTAAGGTACGTTCATTCTTACAACAACTCGAAAGCAGTGTGAGAGTTCTCCGAAGCGTGGTGTCAGTTTATGCATAATTATGCACATGATGAGCGTGGTCGAAATTTATGCATCATTATGCACAGGATGAAGAGCGCGAAGAGCAGCTTCGTGCCAGGGTCTGAGTCAACAGTCTCCAGGCATCACGGTTCCTGGAACCAGTTTGCAGTTTTTTCACATTTACAGACACTTCCAACGGTTGGAGGTAGCATGGATAGCTACTTATGAAGGCCACAGGAGGGAGGCCCTCTCCCTGCCTCTGCTTTGTCAAATCATGTTGAGCAGACCTTGTTGGACTCCCTCTTGTTGCCTGTTGATCACCACTACATTGCACATATTGCACCCTCGCACGAAGCTGAGGTGCTGAGGGGCGAAGTCAAGAGGGATGATCCGTATGAGCACATGCAGTCAGAGCTGGAACAGGCAGGGCAGCTTTGCAAAGCCCTATGCAAAGTTCTTTCTGAGCTCAGGTAGAAGCACCGGCCTTTGCAGAGGCCAAGGATGTGCTTCCTAATGAATCATTGTTTGATTGTCTTCATTGCGAGCAGGTTCCACCACCTCCCGCACCAGTTCCTGAGGCACCTGAGCGCACCATTCCTTTGGTGTGTTCTTTGCCTCCATTCCTCGCGTGGAGCCATTGTTGCTGTCAAAGCGTGGGAAAGTTCCAAGCGTTTCGGACACCTCGGATGTTGCCTGTGTGCTGTGATGAGAGATGGGCTTTGATAGGCCGCGCCAGAACCACCTGCTGCTGTGCATGAGGTTGGAATGGCTGTGGGATTCAGTTGGATTTTTGTAGGGTTGTGTTGGAGAAGTGTTGAAGATTTGCATTCTGTGGCTGCTGAAGCTGTGCCTAACGTTGCTGCCCCTTGTTTGTCCACATCCGTCCATGCAAGGCGAGGACATGGACACATTTTCACTTTTTCCAGGATTCCAGCGAGAGGAAGTCGTTGGAATCCTGGAAAAACTGAACATAACCCCATTTCCTTGCCTTTCATGGGCAGATTTGGACTGCCGGCTGGCCAGTTTCTACGCATACAAGATGAGCAGGAGGAGCACGACGTGATGGTTGAAGCCGCTGTTAGCTGAGGTAGCCGCACTCAATGGGAGGGAGCGCCTGCAGGCAGTGCACTGACTCTTCGGGGAACCCGACCTGATGAAGCACGTGATGATCAGGGACGTTCTGAACCACCGGGACCCCTGCCAGCGCATGGAGGAGTGGAAACGACGGAAAATGAGGCAACAACGGCAATGTTGGAAGAGATGAGAGAGTGCCTGCCGACTCAACCTGATGGCAACCAGAAGCTCGACCGCATGCACACGTTCCGGGACTTTTGCAACAGCAAGGGCAACTACAAGTGCGGGGTGAGTCACATGCCTCTGAAGCCAAAGCCTATCCAGGAGATGGTGGACAAGTCCGTGCCGGCAGCGACAGTGTCTCGTCGTCAGAGTTCTCGCCTTCCCCAGCAGAGAAGTCATAGCAGGTGGGGCGTCTGTCACGCATGTGGTGGACGAGAAACTGCCGAGATCGTGGCAACTGGCAGTACGACGGAAGTTCGTGGTGACGTGGCGGAGCAGACTGAGGGTAGTGTACAAAGAGATCTTAAGCATTGGTTACTGTAGGGGACTTGTGCCTGCCAATGAATGGTAGTAGCCTTTGATCGAGATCGGTATATGACTGCAAGGGGCCATCTTTGCTGAGGGCAGTTCAGGGGCTCTCTGCTCTTTACAGGGGTTGCTTTCAGGGGCTGTGCACAAGTGCATCTCCGGGATACTTCTGCGGGAGAAAAGGTTCGACAAAAAAAGAAGCGAGCCTCATTGCAGGCCAGTTTCCCGAAGCCTCCACCACCCAAAAAGGTGGGGACCCTGCAGCTGTTGAACGCAGCATGCATTTTTTCATGATTTGCCTTGTGCCCGAGGCCGCCAGCTATTATGTGCCAGCCCCACCAGTGCCGCCACCAAAGCATGCCCCACCTGTGCCGCCGCCAAAGCAGGCGGGGAGGATGGCGACTGGGGCACGTTAAGCCCTACTACGAGGTTGACCTAAGACGTATCTGATCACTGAAGCTGGTAACCGCTTCATGTGCACCAGTACTTCAGATGATTTCTATCTCAAACTGAGCCAGCAACATGGACGCATCCTTTGACCACAAAGATGTGTTATCCAGTTATCCAAGCAATGTACGTAATAGTGCAGACAACATCACTCATGCCAGCACCACGACATGCGCTGTTGGAAATCGTTGTGCCAACTGGGTTCCTCTTATGTACTCTTGCTACCTGTAGTATCCTGTAGTTAGTAGTTACAAAATGCTTTCTGAATGAAGGCCGCAGTGGAGGCGCTGCGTCCTCCTCCCAAGAAGGCCTGGCAGTCAAGACCCATCAACCGGGGCACACCCTCATTTTTTCACAGGATGTGGCAAAGGCATCTTCCTGCTCTGCCGGGCCCTGAATGGTGCAGAGATCATTGTCCTAGCAGAGCTTTCTGAGGTGTGGGGTGACCTAGATGACCTGCGGCCGATCAAAGGGAACGCCGACCAGCACCAGTTCCCTGACATTTCCTCCGGGCCACAGTCCAAAAAGGACCCACTTACTATGGCCGAGCTCTGCACACACCCTTAGATCTGTATCCAGGAGAAGCAGAAGACTGCCGCCAAAAACCTGACCGGAGAGAATTTCACAAAGGCGCCACCTCAGGCAGTCCAGAAGTTTGGCCGGAGCCCCTGGTATAGCGTGGTTGTGCTTTGCTTCACTTTGCTGCCTGCTGATCCTGAGGTCAGGCGCAGAGGGCCGCTCCAACCTTCGCCCTGCAGGACTTCACTGAATTTCACGTGCACCTGAAAAATCTGTCGGCAAAACGGTACGGAAAGGATTTGATGAAGCCATCCAAGAAGGGCAGATCAGCGAAGATTTTCTCTGGCAAGGCACCTGATCTGCGCATGCTGGCCACATCGGGCCACCGAACGCGTCACGTCTTGCCAGGCTGCCTTGCCTCAGCAGCAGACCGGTGCATTCGTTGAAGATGCAGGCGGTGAGAAAGTTGAGAGCGTGCCTGCAAAGCTGGCCGCGTTTAGAGCCTGCGTTCGTGAGGCGAAACAACCCCAGAAGAGCCTGCTTCTTCATCTTCTGCTCCTCCGTCAAAGCTGACACCAAACGGGTGGGCACTTGCAGGGAACATCTGTGAAGACCTGTTGACACTTTGTTGACTCCAGAAGCTTGCAGGATCCTGCAGCGTGTTCCGCGTGAGAAGCGTGATGATGGGAGCCGACGCGAGCGAGATCCGGAGGGCGAGGCCTGAGGAGAACAAGCTTTGAAAGCTTGCGAAATGCTGCTCGAAGAGGAAGACAGAGACACCAAGATCATCACTCAGACGCAGGTAAAGATTGATCCACAGGTGCGCAGGGCGGAGAGCTAGTTGCAAATGCCGCAGAGGAATGTGGAGGAGGTGTTGGGAGGTTTACGCCGCAACAGTTCATTATTTGGAGATTTAGAGCATGGGAATTAAAGGGTGGCACTCCCGGGAGCAAGCAGACACACTGGGACCTCCTTCCAACAAGCAGTACACTGCACAAACATGCTTGGTGAGCTGCCAGGTCCACTCCTCGATTTGATGGCTAGCGTAGTTTATGCTATATTTTCGCTGTAACAGCAGTAACTCAGTAACGATTAGCAACAGACTAAAGTAGTGAACATATTCCCGGATCTTGATGGCTCTGCGTGAATGAGTAGGGCCACAGTTCACTTCCTGGCAACAAACACACAATCAGCAAAGCCTTTCAGGACCTTTCATCCGAGAATTCTAGGACTCCCAACTGTTTGCTCTACTTGAAAGCCAGGTGGCACAGGACAAATGCCAGCCCAGATGTGAGTTCTCGTGCCGTGCGAGCTCTGATTGCTCCGTGATTTGGAATGATGATATGCCCTCATCAGCCTGAAGAACTTGATTCTCAAGGTTGAGTCCCGATGCGTAGCCCATTCCATTCTTTCTGCTGAAAACTGTACCGGATCAAACTGTGTTGTGCGCCTGGCAACGGTTTTTTTTCGTCAATCGCTCCAAACTTCATCAAGGAAGCATTCGCGGTCTCATGTTCTTGGCATTTCCTGCCAGAAGCCGGTGCGCATTTTGCAGAAGTCCGCTGAAGAGAAAGCAAAGGAGCAAGAGGACGGGCTCGTGAAGCCCGGCTGTGTTGCACCAGTGAATGCACTACTGCAGCAAAGGCTCACGTGCCCCGAGTGGAGCCACGGACAGAGGATCGTACTTTGCCTGCCAGTTTTTGCTGCTTGTGGTTCCAGGTTCTGCGAATGTTGGAGTGTGCAGGTCACCATCAAGGGCGCGAGCAAAGGAGAAGGTAAACTTGGCAAGGGCGGCAAGTCAGTGACCTGGAAAATGGGTAAGGCTTTGTTGTTGTCTGCATTCCTTGCTTGTGCTTCCAAGGTCAAAGGACAAAGGCAAGAGCAAGGGCAAGGGCCGAGGTCCTCGCCAATACGGAGAGGCGTGCACTTGTATTGTCCAAAGCGATTCGTCCACTTCATGCTTTTGAGAAACTATCAGGACTCGGATGCCGAGTGGAGTGTGGCATCTCACGCATCGCATGCTTCGCGCTCCCAGGAGGAGGAGAAGGACCTGGTATGGTCTGAACAACATGGAGTAAGTAACAGATGCCGGTTGGCCCTGTTGCCAGGATCCGCAAGAGAATTCGCCAGTTGTTCTCGTCTCATCTGAGGAAGAGGAGGCAGAAACCTTCAACAACATTCGTACTGCAAAGATCTAAAGCGCGTGAGTTGCTAGAACCTTGCTGCATCCTGCATTGGCCATTTCCCGGGTTCTTCGAAGTTTCCAGGACACTGTCAAGGCAAAGCCTGCACGACAGGCCGGGGCCGGTGGGCTCAAAAAGGCGTTGGACAGGTTGTTTGCCTATTTGACGTGACAGGACAAAGGCCAGGGCAAGGACAAAGACAGCAAGGGCAAAGGCAAAGGCAAGGAAGGCAAGGCTAAGGGCAAAGACAAGAAGGGCGAGAAGGGTGGAAAGAAAGGACCCCGAAGCGTCTCTACATGTATTTGCATGCTGCATGAAGCGCATGGAGAGCTGAGCCTTGTACTGAACACAGAGTGAGTCGGGGTTCAGGATGGATTGTCAAGACGAAATCCAACGATTCCGCCGAGACGCCTGAGACACACGAGGAAGAAAAGGAGGCTGGCACAAAATGGCTGAAGTATGACTTGGCAAAGGCATCAGGCATGACGTTGATGTACGTTGTGTCTTGAACCCTTCTGCAGGACTCGGACGATGAGCTGCCCGACTTCGAGACTGTCTGCAACCTTTTTGGCTTGCTTGCTGAAACGCAAATTGCTTTGTGCATGGCCGAGGTCAAGAACCGGACCGAGAAGAAAGCTGAGATGCGTGAACAGCGCCGCGTGCAGGAGGATTGTCGGAACAAGCAACGCGTGCATGTCCGTGCTCGAAATTAGGCGGAACCTCGTATTGTTGCTGAGTTTGATGTGCAGTGACACGTTGTGCAGCAAGAAATATCGATGAATTGGATAAGATCAGTCCGCGAAAGTGCGCAAAATTCTTCCTTCAATGGGCCCAGCTCAATACGTTTAAACAGGAGCAGGCCACACGCGCTGCAATTCGGCGCGAGGCGCAACGCCAGCGTGAACTTCTTGCCAAGGCTGTGCTTGCCGCGCCGCGTTTCTTGTCGTAGGAGCTAAGTATCAGTAAGTATGTATGATGCTTCGCTCCTTCTTTGACAGGAAGCCCAGGAAGCCAAGGCCTGTCCCGACTGCGGGGTTCGTGGGATAGCACAGCATAAGAACTTGCATAAACAGCAACTGGACAGTCACTGGTGGCTCAGATGGCAGCGGAAGCGGCTGCAGCTGCTGAAGCAGCCGCCAAGGAGGAGGCTGCTCGACAGGTGCAGCCAGCACCACAAGCCTGCAAGTCGTGAAGTCTCCTAGTATGTACAGAAAGTGCCAGGCACCTCGTCAGCAGAAGATCAACCTCGCAGACCTCAGGCAACGAGTGGGGTCATGGGAATAGATTTGAAAGTCCACTTGCAAGCCAAGTAAAATGCAACAAAAGCAGGGTCTCGCCAGGCGCAGCTCTGGTGAGGAGTTCTCGGAGGCTGTCTGAGTCTTCCGTGAAGTTCCAGGCCACAGTGCCCTTGCCAGGCAGCAGAAGCTGAAGCTGCCGAAGCCGCCCGCGCTGCCGAAGCTGCCCGCGCTGCCGAAGCCGCCCGCGCTGCTGAAGCCGCCCGCGCTGCCGAAGCCGCCCGCGCTGCCGAAGCCGCGGAAGCTGCCGAAGCGGCTCGAGCTGCCGAAGCCGCCCGGGCCGCTGCAGCTGCGGAAGCTGCCGAAGCGGCTCGACAGGAGGTGGCACTCCCGGGGGCGGGCTTTTTGCAAGCAATTTGGGGGCAGCAACCTGTTGAAGCAGGCCCGCCAGCAGATCTTCGCTGAGCTGAGGCCTTTCTTTGACTGTTGAGTCCTGGCTTGGCTCCTTCAGTCCATGCAGGTGGCATGATCCTCAGACGCAGATGGGGCCCCAGATGCACGCCACGCGGCCTCGCTTCTTCAGCATCTTCAGCTAGCAGCTAGCCGTCTGCAGAAGCTTTTCTGAGTTATCGAGACTTTGCCCCAGCAGCCTGTCGCCTTGCAACCAAATGCACCCCTTTTGCATGGCTCTGATTCTGAATCTAGAGGGAGATAGGAGATGGCAGATGGTGGCAGCTTGCCCAGCCTGTAGATAGAATCCGATGGCAAGCAAGCTGTCTTGGGCCTGGAGCGAGGGATCGTGGTATGTCGTCGACTATGCCAAGACGGGACGTTCTACCTGCAAGGAGTTCCGCTGCAAACGTAAACTCGAGATCGGCGAGCTTCGGATAGGCATAGAAGCCCCTGAGCACGACCACCGAGGTAGCCAGCTTGGTTGGTATCATCCATCTTGTTTGTGGAAAACCTTTGCATACAAATCCAATGCCAACAGGGAAATCAGGTCTCTAGACGACATGTCTGGGTTTGCCACCCTCAAAGAGGGCGACAAACAACTACTGAAGGGGCTGCTCGAGGGGAGGAATGCAGGAGATCCCGCGGCCGAGCCGGCCACTAGTCCTGCTGCGTCGAGTGCCGCACGCCGCAAGGTGTCAGTAAAGATTGAGGGAAACACCATGACTCTAAGCGGCCCAACGTTTCACCTTAAGGAGGATTTGAAGAAGTTTGGTGCAAAGTTCAATGGTGAGACCAAAGCCTGGGTTATCACGAAGAAAGACAATGATTCCTTTGAACATGTACAGAAGTTCCTGACGGGAGAGGATTCAGAACAATTTGGTGGAGGGTCAAGCCCCGCAAAGCGTCAGCGTATTTGACTCACCGAGCCAGTGCGAGAAAAGAAGCTTCAGACGTCCGGCACACGAAGTGAGCCATGTGTGTGGGATGAAATAGCCAGGTGGGTATGCCACAAGAGGAGGCTGGCACCTGCCTAGAACTTCTTAGACCCTGCTGGACTCTGACTTCCTAATGGTGGATGGTTTAGTTCCTGTACCGCACTTGCCCCTGCTTCTTTGATGCCAGGCCCCGCACATGGCGATGCACATGGCAGCGCACATGACCCATCACATGGCGCCGCAAATGGCCGCCCACATGGACCACATGGCCCCGCAGATGGACCACATGGACCACATGGCGACGCACATGGTCCCACACATGGCCCCGCACATGAACCACATGGTCGCGCACATGGACCACATGGCCCCGCACATGGACCACATGGCCACGCACATGGACCACATGGCCCCGCACATGGCCTCCTTCCAGGTGCAGACATGTGAAGTGCATCGCTGCGCGAAAGCTCAAAATTTAGCACTTGTGGATTGAATGTCAGCAACAGCACTGCAGGACTACGCGTTGCCATATCCAAATTGCCCGCCGCCACCATACCGACCGCCTGACTTCAGCCAAGGCCTCAGTGCGACCATGATGAACAGACCTGCAAAGGGTTGGGTGTTCTTACTTGAAGCTTGTCGCATCGAGTCCCGTTTAAGGCAAGCAGATCCGCAACGTTGTGAAAGAGATGACGATGCAGCATGCAGAGGAGACGCAGGCAAGATTGGAGGCGAGCTTCAACCTCGGTGAAGCCAACCGGAACCCGACGATCACCCACACAGTCCACACGGTCCACACGCCCCCACCCATGCCGACGTGCCCAGTCGCCCCCACCGCCCCATCCACGCCTCCGGTGTGGGCCTCAAGCCCCTCGATGCCAGTGCACGGCATGGATGCAGGCGCGTGGCAAGAGTGTTTGTAAGCGCAGGTTCTTTCATTTCTGTTCCCCTGACGCGCCTCGAGGCTTTGCAGGCAATTCCAGCATGGGCAAGGAGATCGGAAAGCCTTTCGGTGACGCGGATGGCCGGCCCTGCTACAATTAATTAGGTCAAGAATCTTTGGATCCAATGTTTCGTAGTCATAGATGTATCCGCTGCTCCAATCTAATCTAAGCTTTTTTTTGCATGAATGCCAAGCATCAATCCACTCATCTCGCCATGCACGACCGAGCATTCAAGGCCATTTTGGCATGGTAGTGACATGTCTCAAGCAAGAAACTAGACACTTCAATGAAGGTCACAAGCTAGCAACATCTCATGTCAATTGCTCATGGATGATATGCATGCGCTGCTGTGTCCAATTCTTCACCAGGCGCAGGGTGCGCAAGGAAGTGTTTGCTTGCCACTTCTGGCATTCCCCTTCAGGCTGTCTGCAGCGCGCATGCTCCCGCCTGCGCCCTGGGGTCCAGGAAGCGCCGCGCCGGCTGTGCCGGCTCCGTGGGACCGGGCTGATGCAGGTCACGGAGTTTCCTTTGGCAGTCCGTTCTCTCCCAGATAAGCTGCAAGGTCATTGGGGCTATGCGCCCGTGCAGGTTTCCCAGGAGAACGGTGGTCCGTGTCGCTGGGATTCCTTCAACATTCCTGTGGCTTTACTGGCACATAGCCCAAAAAGCAGGCTTGTTCTTGGCGAAGCACATCAGTTGAGGCTCCTGCCATGTGGGGGCTTGCTGAAGCTCCAGCGATGTGGTCTGCGATCCTCGCTTAAAAAACTATAGTTGCTTGATGGGACGTGGAATGTGCTCTGAGCTCAAAGGAAGGAACATCAGGGCATGCATCTACAAGCCATTCCTGTTCGGGCACACCCAGGCCATGGAATGTATCTGCCAAGAGGGTCCGCTTCGAGCTTGTCGCAGCTGAGGTGTCAGCTCTTTGCGCTCGACACAGGTCGTCTCGTGATGCTTGCGGTGTTGTTGGCCTACCAGCAGTGCAGTTAACGGCTGCAGGGAATGCCGATCAAACCTCTCATGAGATGGCCACGGGAAGGCAGCTAGAGATAGATGCTTTTGGACAGCATTGCTCACAAAAGGCACTGGCCTTCCTCTGCCCATTTTTGACAGGATCTGCGCCTCCGCCATCGCGTTCTGCGCGTATGGTTGATGTCTTGGGCTGAACAAGATGGGATAAGTTTGATCCCCATGAGAATGTAATAAGTTTCATCCTTCAGCGCTGCCTGCTTCATATCTCCACTTGCTATGTTGTGGCTTCGCCCAGGATCGCGAAGCTTCTGGCTTCGGGTGACGCCACTGCAAGTGGTGTCCAGGTGTCTTCTCGTACGTGCAGCTGTGCAGACATGGGAGTCTGAATACCAAGGGCTCGAAGCAGGTCTGTGGAAAAGCCATTGAAACAGAAGGCCAGTCGCTTTGAGTTTCTTTTTTCCCACAAACCTCTCGGGGGTTGGGTTCTCCTTCCGGTTTTCCACCGGGCAGGCTGCAGATTCTTGGAAGTGGGGTGTGGCATGGCCAAGTGAGGCCTTCAGGATCTGTGGTGTTCGGGCTAGAGGGCAGAGCGCTTGCGAGAGGAGGGATGGTTGGGAGGACGGATGTGGGGTGCGGGATGGCAGAGGGGTGGTCTGAGTACAGATGGCAGGAGGCGAAAGAGTCGGTGGGGTGGTTGCCGAGATGGATGGCAGCCTTGTGTGTCTGTTTAGGCGATCATACAGTATACGCCAGAGCAGTGTACATCCTTGGATACCGAACATGCAGGGATGAGCCACGCAGGTTGAAAAACGACAGCATTTGTGTGCCCAGAGGCTGCGATGAAGGCACTGAAGCCTGAATCGAGGGCTGCAGCGAGGGCCTCGTTGCAGCGTCAGGTGGGGTAGGAACCAGCTTCATGCTGGAAAATGGAGTGTTTGTACTCGTCGTATTCCTTTGCCCGCGATGCCTGAGTGCAGGCCTTCCAGCGCAAGATGCGGGTGCCTGAGGTTTACGTGATGCATTGGCGTGGGGGCATCGCCTGAGCTTGCAGGGTTTGCCAGATGGTTTTCTGGAAGTGTCGAATTCTTCTTGAGTGAATGTAACCTTTTTCCCGTAACTGTAAGGGTGACAACTGAGGCGGAACATCGAGCTGAACAAGGACCTCGCAGCACTGGTGACCGTTTCATGTTCAGTATGTTCAGTACGGGCCGCCAAGCACTCAAGAAAGCGGGCTCAGTGCCTGGCGGCCTGAGGAGATCCTTGCATGTAGCGACCCAGACGAGATTTTGAAAATATGCGACAAGAACCTGGACGAGTTCAACCAAGTGAATGCTTCTTGCTCAGATTGAAAGATGCCTGCACGCTAATCTAGAAGCAGCAGTCTTGAGTCTTGAGGTCGTTACAGCTTTGCATCGCATTGCCAAGCACTACAAGGTCTGCAACTTTTGCATGTGTGTGTGTGTGTTCAAACAATTTTGGATCCCAACTGACATGTTTGCCAGCCAAAGCACGCCTGAAGCTGAATGTCCGAACATGAGGACCTCTTGCTTGAGCAAGCTTGCACGGGTGACCTGATTTCAACTGCATGTTTTTACAGGGGCAAACTTCAATTCAACCAGCTGCTAGGCACTAAGCCCACTGCAAAAGTGCGGATCGGAGCCCCAAACCTGCTCAGAGATGAGATGTACAAGAAATCCTGCCTCGCGTTGCGTGTGCCGAAAGGCCAAGTAATGTGAGTAGTATTTTATCTGGGGATACTGTAGTACCCATTATAGAGTAAGATTGTATCGTCCTTTTGGGGTATAATCATTTAATTTAAGGAGTATAATCTTACAAGGTTCAACAACCAACAAATGCTACTCATGTGACAGAATGAGCAGCACACATGAAAGCCCTACATGCAGTTTCAAGCAGTTCACACTGCCTTTATAACTTTGCCAGGCAAGCCCTGGCTCTGGGGATTCGCACGGCGCCTGACGCCCAAGCGAATTTACGAGTGGTCCGCACTGGACGGAGTTCGATGCCAAGCCAATGTGATGCAAGTGCGGGTGGGGTCTGGGCGTAGAGGAGGTCTTTGAAGATACTGAGCTGTGTAGTCATCACTGTGGG